TTTGTTAAGATCTAGGTTATATCTAATTGCAGAAGGGGCCTGGGAAAAAGAGAATCCTATTATAGCAGGTCAAACATAGATACTAGTTGGTAATTAGATTAGTTATAACTTGTAATTTAGATAACAATTTAGGCCATGGTGCTTATCATTTAGAGATAGTTCTTATACACTATCTGCTGACAAGTTAAGAGTTTATCACTTACCTTCTAAAATGCCCAATTGTAAAATTTTACATATTCTAGATAAGTTGTACAAAGTCTAATAAAGTTAAAGCATGACTGCTGAATTCTTAAAAAAAATAAAAAATAAAAAAATAACTGTCAAAAAAAATAATAAAAATAAAAAAGCTTTTGTAAAAAGAAATATAAATTTGTTATACTTGCAACATGTTACACCCTGATTCTAACCAATCAAATCACTTAATTTTGTAAACAAAAAAATTCATTTTTAAAAAATTAAAAATTTTACTTAAAAAAATAAAAATTTTATATAAAATAGCATATTATATAATATAAAATTTTATTCTGAACAACTTTTTTTAAGATAAAAAAGTAGGTTGTTTATTAAAAAAAAGTTTTATAAGAAAAATCAAAATTGCCAATATTAGTATATATAAAATCTTTTGTTTTACTAATTTAATCTATATTTATATTTTAAGTATTATATGTAAAATTTTATTCTAAACAACTTTTTCTAAGTTATAAATATAAATTATTTTAGTAAAAAAAAAAGTTTTATATGTGCTAATATTAGCAATTTTGATTTTTTTTATAAAACTTTTTTTTCTTAAACAACCTGTATTTTTAACTTAGAAAAAGTTGTTTAGAATAAAATTTTATATTATATAATACTAACATAGACAAAAATATTTATATCAATATACTGATATATAAAGAATTCTTTATAAATAATGATCCTGCTTATGCATAATTTGTTTGTAAACAGGTCATAAACACAAGTGCTACACATTACAGGTTTGTATAAAAAATTTAACCACATTATATTTTTTCTGTTAATGAAAAATCAGTATAACATACTTACACATAAAAACAAACAAAATTACATTGAAAAGTGGTATATTTTTAGAGGTTGGAAGCACAGGTGTAAGGTTTGTAAGGAGTGCAATCATTCACATCTATATTGTAAAATATGCAAAAAAGTAGTAGATAGAATATATAGGTGATGTGAATGTGATAATTTTAAAAGAGGGCCTTGAATAATTAAAAATAAATCAGTTAATACAGATAAATTTTATATGCAGAATTATTTTTATATATTAAATGAATATCTTTGTTATGTGAAATTATAAACTTTGTTTAACCATTATTACCAAATCATTACAAGATGTGAGACATTTTTCATTTTTGTACTGTATGTACGTACTTAACCAAAAGTTGTCAATTAACTCATAATTTAACCCTTATCTGAACTAAATATATACAATGTATGCAAGTTATGACTTATAACTTGTATTAGTGATTGGACCCAGGTAGGTGCCACCCGGCTCACCCACGGGTGGACGGGTAACCTGGGTGGAGTTTTGGCCACCCAGGTGAAAACGGGTGACCCATGATCTTTTGCACAAGACTTTACTAAATTTCAATCCAAATATGCATTTGTATATATATTAATTGCTTTTTTTTTTAAAAAAAAATAACTTTTCAAAAACGGATCGGAGGTAAATTTTACTATACAAACCATCTTTTTTTATTCAAAAATTTACCATTGATAAAGGACATTCAAGAATTACTTTTGCATTTTTTACGTATCAAGCATAATAAATAATGAATTCTTAGTAAATTTCTACCCGATCTAAAAAAAATTACTATTTTATTTTTTATGCTAGACTTTTAAAACAAACTGTATACCAAAAATATAACTATAACTTAGAAATATATTTGTATATACAGGTATGCATAATAGCAGGACATCTATTTTTATCTGGAGTCCACCCGATGAGTTGCTTTTTTAACCCACCGGTTTCTACCCAGTGGCTCATGGATCCAACCTGAGTGGTATTTTTTTTGACGGGTCCAATCACTAGTTATAACAGGTCTTATTTTTTAGCTATCTGTGCGACAAAAAAATCATAGGATATAATACTTAAATTTCTTAATGTAAGAGTGCATGCAGGTTTTAGCCTTTGTCTAACCTCCCCGGGCTTCAAAGAAATAAAGGAAAACACATAAAAAGGTGAGTATGTGAAATAATATTTGCTTTTTCTCATGATTTTATTTCTATAATCTTTTTATAATCAACTATGACCAACAACATATATGATAAACTTTGTGACTTTTAGTAAACGCTGATGAAGAAAACATCACTGCTGGATCTGCTATTTATCAAGTAATAGAAGATGAGCCTTGGACCCCCAAACCTGAACTAAAAAGGATGATAGGGAGCGCTGTATCTTTTGCAAATAATCAAATTACTAGATGATCTTCGCGTTATAAAATTTTGCTAGAAATTATGCAAGAGGTAAATAAAATCAGAATATATTTAGAGATATGCTTATTTTGAATGATGATTACGCAGATACTTGCAGCTGATTTGAAGAAATAAATATAGCAGATTTAGCACCCCATTAGCTCGTGTTCAGAATTTCTTTTCTGAGGGGGTGTTTAATTTGTAATTTGCTTATTTCTATATTATTACGGCACTATATATGAAGTTTTATTTATGTGATAGCCATACAAAAATAAGGCTTCATTTATATCTAACGGCGCATGCGCTTTAAAAAAGATTTTTTACCTTAGCAAAAATTTATCAATTATATCTGCGTTAGTTTGAAATTTCATATAGGGCAATTATTAGCTTGCATGCTATAGGTGCAGTGAAAATTAACAAGGAAAAGCCTCTCAGCTCGGAGCAGATAGTGTTTCGATCTGCAATCCGACTAATTCGGATTGATCCGATAATTTGAATTAGATGCAGATATTCGTATTCGTCTATTTAATACGGATAGATCCTTAATGCATTTCGGATAAAGGATAAGGATTATCTGGATAATAATTATATATATATATGCTTTCATTATTGATGAATTAACATTTTATCACTAACACTAAATTTAATTAATATCATATTTCCTTTTAAGCGTACGTAATATAAATGTTTAAAATTCTCACGCGATCCAGTTTAAATATGAGAAACTTGGAAATATGTGCGTATTTTAATATAACCACATATAAAGGTCCATGGCATTTTACTTATTTGCATGGGTAGTGTAACCATCGTTGGGAGAGCTTGCCGAGTTTAACTCCGATGGTTGACGTTAGAAAGTCGCATGAATTTGGCAGTAATTTATAGGACGCAGGTATTAATGATTTATTAGGCATTTATTATAAAAAGAATGTATATTTAATTAAGGATGGTTTTTGAAGAGCATTCATTAGATACATTTGATATCGTAACTAAGAGCAAGGGTGACCCTTTATATGCATTCTCCAACACCACTACTACTACATTACTCCATTACTACTACGTTGATGCTTCTTAAGTAACATCTAGCCACCAAGAATATTTAATAATGCCTAATATTAGAAAGGTAAGATTACATGGCTATGGCAATACAATTATGGAAGGTATGTGACAATGAATTAGACAAATACAGAAGTGGGAGCCAAGGAAAAAAATTATTCATTACAGTAGTACAAATCCTAATTTTGTAAATAAATGGATGAGAATACTTTGTTTAATGGTCTTGTTTTACCAACCGCATAGAATACTGATGATAAATCACAGTTTATTAGCATAGATTCAAGTGGACTTAAAGTGAATTATACAGGTAAGATATGTAATAAATTTTAATAAGAGAAATTTCTCAGAAATATATTATATATTTAAAAATTTTTTTAAAGATCCGAGTGATTATAAAACTGTTGTAATTCGTGCCAATAATCCAATTCCTTTACAATGCAGATTATTTTACTTTGAAATTGAAATTATAAATGAAGAAAAAAATAGGTAATATTAATAATTATTTCATATATTAAATCATTACTATTATAAATTTTCACAATCACTTTAATTCTATTTAGTAATAGAATGATTGGGGTAGGATACTGTACAAACCAAATAACATAAGTGTTTTCATGTCTGGTAATAACAGACTAATAGACTATTTTTTATTATTACATATTAATGCTATGTCATAACATCTCTTAGAAAGTAAATATGTAGAAGATAAAGAAAATAAGGTAATTAAATCATTGGGTGTACTTACCATAGTGACGATAGAGATTTTTTTTGTTCTGGAAGTGGCAAGCCATATGGACTGACATATACTGTTGGTGATACAATTGGATGTTATTTGAATTTTAGAAATGATGATAAGATGATATTTTATACTAAAAATAGTATGAATCTATCATATAATCGAGTTAATTTACTATTAGTTCCAAATTACTATAGCAAGACTCTATGAATCTCAAGACTTAAACCAAATTTTCCATGCTTCTTTCTGCCTGACAATTCGAGGAAATAGGAGGTTTGATCGATCACTAAAGAATTCAAGTTCAATTAGAATGATCTTTAACAAATAGAATCGAATACTACTTTTAAAGAATATTTCTATAATTGAATTTGAATTAATTTGAATTACTAATCCAAATTAAAAATTCAAATTATAATTGAATTTGTTGAAGCAATCCAAATTCAATTCTAGATAGCCTTTTTAAAATAGGATTGAAACACTAAAAGCAGATCGAGTCTAATATGAAAAAATTGAAAAAAAAACTGAAAAATAGTGTATCTTCTTTTGAAAAAGCTCTTTTTCATCAGTTGTATACTAACTTAAAGAAAGTGTCAACCTCTATACTATCTTGGAGAGATTATTTGGCTAACCAAATCATAAGTGATAATTTTATTATAGTAAGACAACTTATACTAAGATTGCAGAAAATATTTATAGTAAGTATAATATTGAACTATTTTTAATTAAATAAATTAAATCTCATAAAGTTATATTATAATTTTATTGCTAAAAACTAAAAGGAACCATGGTTCTTTCAACACCTGCAATAATCCAAGAAAAGTGCAATAAATTTGTGGTAGACTATAATAAGCTTTATGCAAATACTTTGTCACAAAAATACTTACATAATGGAATATGGAAAGAGAGCAATAAATATCTAGTAGGTGTTGCAGATAAGATCTTGGATACTTTGTGAGTAATAGTATTCATATATTAAAATATGATTTTGTTATATGCAAATTTAAAACCATCTTACTTTTTTAACAGAAATGATACATAGTACAATCTCATATTTGGATCCAACTTCGCAGAGTCGCTAAATGAAGGCATATACATAACAAACATTATTGTACTAGCTATTTGAGCATCTTTAAAAGATTTACTTTTTGGGAGGATGTTGTTTGTGAACTCATAAGTATATAATTACAAAGTTGTAATCTATCCCTTAAATTGTAACACAGGCAAATTTGCCTGTGTTTTTATTAAAAAGTTTAATTTTTTTAATAAAAACTT